AAGTTGGACACTGAATAAGAAAGACAGAAGAAAAACATCCGTGCCTTTGGATTCTGGTGCTGGCGAAACATCTTGAAAGTGCCGTGGGCTGCCCGAAGAGGAAAGAGAGCCGTCTCAGAGGAAGAACAGCCAGCGTGCTTCTGGGAGGCCAGGATGGGAGACTTGGCCGCACAGACACTGGACACGCCCTCGGGAGAGACCAGCCCCTGGAGAAGGACGTCGTGCTTGCTGAAGTGGATGGACGGCCTTGCGGATGGACGGCCTTGCGGAGATGGAATGACCCGGGGTTCCGACAAGGGTTTGTTCTGTTGGGGTGACTATGAGCTGGAACCAGCTGCAGGGCACCTCACCCGGACAAGGGGGTCATTTGGCAGTTTCCGAAGATGTTCGTGCTAACTGCGCTTATTTAGTGGAGAGAGGCCAGGGATGCTGCTGTCTATGTGGCCGGGCGTGAAACAGCCCGCCTCACAGGGACTGATCTCCGTGGCAGTGAGACTGGGAAACCGTGCTTACAACGAATGCGCTCAGTTTCCTCGTCTGTAAAACCGGGATAACAATAGCACTGCAGAGTTATGACATCAGAGTCAAGAGATTAGGCAAACACCTCGTGCCTAACAAGAGTCCATGAATCTGCCCTAGAAGAATGATTAGTGTCGCTCTGCGGTCCCTCTAGGTTTCATCCCTCTGTGGAGGTTCATCTCAATGACCTGCTGCCAAGGCCACTGCCACTCGTGCTTTCCTTGCTGGGCTTGATGCTTCCCTTCTCCTTTTGACCCAAAGCCCTATCCTGAAGCTGCAACTAGAACGTTCTTGCTCAGACCCCATCCTAATACCCCAACTCCTCTCAGATGCCGCCTTTGCCTCTCACTTCCCCACTCACCCAGCCTCTCCCACCATCCTCCCCGTCCTCCTTAGGGGGAGTGCCCTGCCTCTTCAGCTCCTCCCCACTTTGGCACTTCGGCACAGACGTGTCTCCCCAGCACCAGTCCACATTGTACAGCTCCCACGCATCCAGTCTAAGTGGCCTGAGATAGTAAAAGCACATCCTGGATCCGGACCAGGCTGTCCACTTTCTCGTCTGAGCTCTGCCTGCTACGTACTGTTCAGTCTGGGGCCAGTGAGCCGCCTCGCCTGCAGAAGAGGGGGGTGTGATCTTTGGCTCCTGAGATGGTTTTGTGAACCTAGTTAGAGGATGTCGGAATATGAAACATGCAACAATAGAAATATAAGTGATTCACTCCTGGGTGCGGCCCTACTTTACATTTTTATTTCCATAGCCCTCACCACCTGCTAACGAACTGTACGTGTGCTTTTGTGTATTCATTCCGCCGGACTGTCAGCTCCACTGGGTGGGGAAATGCTGGATGCCCAGGGCCCAGAACAGCGCCGGTTTGTGGCTAAACAAATATTTGTTTGGACGACTGAGTCCACTAGGTATACAGCGCCTCTGTCAGTTCCTAACTCTGTCCTCTCCAAGAAGCGTCCTTGTGCAACATGTGACCTTCCTCAATCATCACAGCAGCTCCATTGTGCAGGTGAGGGGACTGAGGCCGAAAGAAGCGAATCTCGTCCCGAGGAACCCCCAGGGAAAGTGGTAGGGCCTGATGCAGGGGCTCATCCATCCAAGAACCACGGAGCATCCGCTGTGGGTCAGGTGCTGGGCCAGATGTTGGAGAGACAGGTCCAGACTTGGGCCCTCCTGCAAAAGGTGGCGCTCACCTTTTGCAGGTGATGTAAGAATGCTATGGGAGCACAGAAGAAAGGCCTCGGCTTTCTGAGACAGGTTGCCCCCTCCCTGCCCAAACCATCCAGAGACTGCACCCAGCATATGCTGAGATCACCCATGAACTCCATAGCCCCCAGCTTCCTGGGCTTCATTTAGAATTCATGATCCAGTTCCGGAGCCCATGCTGCTCTTTGTGCTGACTGGCTTTGCTTCTCCCTCTGTCCACCCTACCGGTGGGTAGGTCCCTCAAGGCAAATGCAGGTCACTGTGACACCCTCTCCACCCTCAGGAGCTCTGTCCCCCTAAGCCCCCCAGCCACTCTGTCCGTGGTAGACAGGAAGCAAAGGTCTGGAGAATGCAGTCACTGACCTACCATCACACAGCCAGGGAGAGGCAGGACTGGGACCCAGTGCCACCCAGGGGCAACTCCCTTCCACCCCCTTGCCCAGCTAGAACCTTGAGACCTGGTCTCTCCTGCTGTTGTGGGGCAAGTGGTCTATTCCCTGGGAGACAGGAAGCAAGAGGGTGGCTTTGGGGGGTCCAGGATTAGGATCAGGGGCAGATTACCCAATAAGCAAGGTAAGCGCAGGCTTGCCAATGCATATTTACTAATCTGTAGTGAGCATTTTCACATCTTTGATGTGATTAAAACTTTTTTATGAAACTGCCCACCACAAACTAGTAAATAAGCACACGTAAGCCTGTGCTTACCGTGTGTGTTAGACTGGGTTGACTAGAGAAACAAATCCAGAGACAGTCATATAGCTATAAGAAAAAGCTTGACATCAAGAAGTAATTGTGCATTGAGAAAGCATCCCAGGGGAGTAGGGGGAAGGTGGGGCGAGAACGGGGGAACTGATCACAATGATAGATGCATACTACCCCCCCAAGGGGGATGAACAACAGAAACATGGGTGAAGGGAGACAGCTGTCAGTGTAAGTTATGAAAACAAAAATAATTTATAATTTATCAAGGGCTCACGAGGGTGGGTAGGTGGATGGGGGAAGGAGGGAAAAAAGAGCTGATACCAAGGGCTCAGACAGAAAGTAAATGTCTAGAAAATGATGATGGCAACACATGTACAAATGTGCTTGATACAATTGATGTACGGATTGTTACAAGCACTGCAAGAGCTCCCAATAAAATGATCTTTAACAAAATTAATTAAATTTTAAAAAGAAAGAAAGCGTGCCAGCCCAGTCCAACTCCAGCCCATAAATCCAATCCTGGTCCCTCGTCAGACTCACACAGCCACAGGAAACGGTGCACAGCACAGGGGGATCACTGGTTGATGGGTGTCACGACCCGTGGCTCCAATGTCTGTGGAAACATGATAGCATCATATTTTGATCTGATTGACAGGTCAGATTCCACCCCTACACTTCTAGACATCTTCAGGTTTACATCAAATTATCTATCACAATTTATACCTGTTCTGGTCCAAACAACAGAACACCCAAACTCACTGCGTGGAGTCCATTCTGACTCATCAAGAGCCTGGAGGGCAGGGTGGAACTGCCCCTGACTCCTCGGAGAGGAAAGCCTCGTCTCTCTGCCCAGGAGCTTCAACGTGCTGGCTTCCTGGTTAGTAGCCCGAGGCCTAACTACTAGGCCACCAGGGCGCCTGTGTCCCTTAGAGGGAGGGTATCTTTGAAAAGAGACTTTGGTTCTGAAGGAAGGTGCTGTTGGGAGAGAGACCTAGAAGCAGCATCTTTGACATGCTGGGGAAAGGTGAAATTGGTCACTACAGATTAGTAAGGAAGCACAAGTAAACCTGTGCTTACCTTGCTTATTGTGTAATCTGGCAGTGTTTGGGATAGGATGTTCAGGGGTAAAAGTCCACTTTGAAGTCCAAATGTAGGAACCCCTCAGGACCAATAAGGAAAATAGCGATACCAGGAGGGTAAGGGAAAGGTGTGGGAAGAAAGGGGGAACCGATTATAATAACCTATAACCCCCTCCCTGGGGGACGGACAACAGAAAAGTGGGTGAAGGGAGATGTCAGGCAGTGTAAGACATAAAATAATAATAATTTATAAATTATCAAGGGTTTGGGAGGGTGGGGGAGAAATGTGGAGCTGATACCAAGGGCTCAAGTAGAAAGAAAATGTTTTGAAAATGATGGGGGCAACAAATGTACAAATGTGCTTGACACAATGGATGGATTGTGATAAGAGTTGTACAAGCCCAATAAAATGATTTTTTAAAAACAAAACAATAAACATCCCCAGTCCAATAAGGGAAAAAAAAAATTCAAATGTAGGATTGAAGCCCTCGGAAAGAGCCCAGAGTAAAATTGGGGTTCCTTTCTCCTGCCTCTTCTCCCCCAAAATGAGGAGGTCCAGCAGGGTAGGAAGTGTTAAACAAGGCTTAGCTTCCCCAGACAGGAGGAGAAGCCAGGCCACTGGGTGTGGTGCTGGGGCGGGAGGTGGGGGGTAGCCTGAGGCAGCTGGAACCGGGAACAGCCTGAGCCTCTTCTGTCCATCACGTTTCGCTGGCTCACCCACCCGCCTCTCTTCTTGGTTTGGGGAACAGAAGAGGGAGAAGAGCAGAATAAGGCCTTTTGTTTTGCCTGGGAAGTTGAGGGTGGGTGCCACACCCTAGGAGCCATGTCCTGAGTCCCTTCAGGAGGATCCTGGAGGTGGGTGCTCAACATGCTGGCCCTGTCCCAGAACTCTCACCTTGAGGAAATGGTTCCCCTCCAGGGACACACAGTTCCTGCCTTCCTCCCACTGCTGCCCCTTGTCCGCCTGGAGGGAGGGCTGCCCCCCCCCCCCAACTGTGTAGCGCAAAATCCCTGCTAGCTGGGAGCTGTAGGAGTTAGCAACTTAATCTGACTTCCCAGCTTCCTCATCAGAGTAGGCACCGTGGGAGGCATCAGGGGAGGCAGACAGGCCCTAAGGTCCTAGAGCCTCAGTGCTGATACCTCTTAGAGGGAATTAGGTGGCAGGTGGGGCCAGGGCCAGGATTAGGGGAGGAGAGTGGGAGGCTGGTCAGAGTGGTCCTGGGTGAGGTCGGGGCTCCAGACCCAGGAAGTATGGGGTCCTGGGTACTCCTGTCCCAGAAGAGGGCCGATTCCTTCTCCAGAGCCAGCTGCAAATCAGACCTGACCAGAGAAGTGAGAGTGACTTAAGCCTTTGCAGCAAGGAGGCTGTGGGTTCTTGGCGGGCCCTCCCCTCTCCACCTCACCCCTCTCCCCACCCCACCCTCCTTCCTGAAGGGAACTGGGATGCAGAACCACCTCGGACTGCCCAGCTTTGCTCCCCCTTTCAGGCTCCTCTGAGAACCACAAAAATCTGGGACCCAGTGTCCTGGCAGCATGCGGAGCACATGCACAGCGCTGGTATCTGTTTTGAATTATCCCCTCAAGTAAGTACAGTCCTGGAGAAACAACTGAGCACAGAGCTGGCGTTGGCTGGGCGGTGGCTAGGAGTCTAAGGGCACTGAAAAGGGAGGAGCCTAGGAGCCCACGCCCCCTCTTTTTCCAATCCCTTGGTGGGATCGCGGGAATGGACTGGAGGGTGAGGTGGGGGGCAGATATCTGGGTTCTGTTCTTGGCCTTCTCTGGGGAACTGGGCATGGAATTAGAGTGTAAGACAATATATTTGCTTGGGAAGAAAAAAGACATTGATGCAGAAGACAGGGGCAAAGGGACCCCCCAATACTTGGGAAGCAGTAAAGGAACTCAGAACCCAGAACTTGGTTCCCCAGCCCCGAGGGAGTGGGGTGGGAGTGACCCAGGCATTCCTTTACCACCCCACCCTTTGCAGGCTGAGATGCAGTTTGAATGGGCTGCCCACGGGTGAAGGAGGGAGCTGGGGTGACTCATTGTTACTACGGGGAGCTTGTGGTAGGAGGGTGAGTCACCCTGCTGGGCACCAACCTCAGCCCTCACCCACTTTCCTGTACCCCAGCCTGTCCGAACCCCTCCCTTTGCTCTGCATCCAGGCCCCCTCTTCTACCTTTTGCCCATCCACTCCTGCTCCTGGCCTCTGCCCTGGACCCTGAGGCACAGAGGGAGTGGTGAGCAGCTTGGTGCCAGGAGCACTGAGCAGAGGGAAAGCCAGATGTGGGAGCTTCAAGGACGGGGTGACCTGGTGAGGGTGGGCTTGATTACCCCACCCCCATCCCCCACCCCCGTGACCAGCCGCGGTTCTCTCCCTTCCACACTAACAAGCCCCGCCCCCCGTGGCTAAGTGACGTCCCCTTTAAGAGAAGTGGCCCCGCCTCCTATCCCAAAGACCTATTAGAGCCTTGGCCCGGGCGCCGGTGACTCAGTGTTCGCGGGAGCGCAGCTTCTCCTCCAACCAACCCCGAGGCCGAGCTTCCCTAGTGCCCGGCCCAGCTCCGCACGCCTGCCAGCCGCCAGCCCAGAGCCAGCCGGCCGGCGCGCTCCGACCGAGCACTCGCTGCCCTTCAGCCCCAGTTCGCTCCGCGCCCTTCTTGGGACCCCTGCCCCGCGGGCAGCGCTGCCACCCTGCCGGCCATGGAGACTCCGTCCCAAAGGCGCGCCACCCGCAGCGGGGCGCAATCCAGCTCCACGCCGCTGTCGCCCACCCGCATCACCCGGCTGCAGGAGAAGGAGGACCTGCAGGAGCTCAACGATCGCCTGGCGGTCTACATCGACCGGGTGCGCTCCCTGGAGACGGAGAACGCGGGGCTGCGCCTCCGCATCACCGAGTCCGAGGAGGTGGTCAGCCGCGAGGTGTCTGGCATCAAGGCCGCCTATGAGGCCGAGCTGGGAGATGCCCGCAAGACCCTCGACTCGGTGGCCAAGGAGCGCGCCCGCCTGCAGCTGGAGCTGAGCAAAGTGCGAGAGGAATTTAAGGAGCTCAAAGCCCGGTGAGTGTGCCCAGGTGGCCGCGGGCCTGCCCGGCTCCGGAAAGGGCCAGCGCGAAAGGGCTTTGGGCGTCTGGTAACTTTGCCATGCAGTCTCCTCCCTCCCGGAACTGCCCCGAGAGGGTGACTGGCGGTGCCAAGGGGAATTGTCCCGGCAGGACAGACAGGGGAGGGGTCTTGGGGCAAGAGTGGGAAGGGTTTGGAGAGGTGGGCGCGCGGAGCCCCATCCTGGAGGACCGGTGCGCACACCGCTGCTAGGGTGGGGTTTGTCAGCCGCCCTGAGCCTGCGGCCGGAGCCCGGCCTGGCATGAGGAGTCAGGGCACCCTGGACACGTTGGAGTGGGTCAAAGGGTCTTGTTAGAACTTTCTCAGCCGCCTTGGCACTTTGCCAACTTTGCCCAGTCTGGCTCCGAGCACAAGATCCCCACAGAGACTGAGCCCCTAAGCTGGCAGATGTTCATTGGTCCTGGGGAGAGGTCACCGAGCCAGGTGACCCCCATCTTCCCCTCCAAGGGCGTGACAGTGGCCATTGGCATGACCTGGTCCTGGGTCAGAAACCCTCCCAGACAACCTAATGCCTGAGACTGTTCCTTCCTGGGCTCTGCCGGAGGGCCTTGCCTCCCCCGCTGCTCCCACAGCTCTTGGCCGGCTTGGCCCAGGAATGTGAAGGAGGGCGGGGAAGAGAGGGCAGAGGCTCCCAGCTCAGGAAGTTGTGTCATGCCCAGGTCTGGTGGCACCCCTCTTGGTCCTCTTGCCTGCTGTCAGTCAGTTGCTAGGTCGGGCTGTCAGCAGAGGGTTAGGGCCTCTGTGCCTGCCTCCCTCCCTCCCGGCTTGGCCACTTTCATTTTCCCAGCTGAGCCCAGAGAGCGAGCCTAGGCTCTGGCCTGTCCCTGTAGCCCCTGACGTTTTAATCTTTGCCTTCCCAAACTGCTGGGATACAGTGACATTTTTGAAATCCAACCGTTGGAAGCTTCAGGCCACTCCCACCCCACCCCACCCCACCGCACCCCACCCCACCCTATTCTCCTCCTTTTTTTTTTTTTTTTTTAAATAAAGGCCTCTGGGAGCCTAGAAGTTTAGACCCTGGCCTCCTCCTCCCCAGCCCGCTTTCCTCTATGAAGACCCAGGCTAAAGGGCACTGAAGGTGCTCTGAGACTCCTGTGGGCTGGGCCTGGAGGCCTATACTCCCCTTCTTCTCTCCCTGCATCCTTTTCTCTGGCCCCCAGTGTGCTCGATGGCCCCCATGTTGTTCTCTGAGGCAGGGTGAGTGCGGCCAACTCCCATCACCCTTCCACTGAGTACAAGCAGCACCTCTGGGAGACAGGTTCAACCTGTTGAAAGCGATCGCTGCTACCTGCTGTCTCTTCCCTCCAGTCATAGGGTCACTCCGTCGGCATCCACCGGACGGCAGTGAGTTTGAGTTTTTGATGAATATTAACAACATAGCTAGACACACACACACACACACACTGGACTAGTTGGAAGAAAGGAGAGAATTCATAGTCTTTTATAAAGAGAATTCATATTCTCAACTAGTCTGTTCAACTCCTTAAGCCCCCCTTCCTGGAAGGCATCCTTCCGCAGGCTGTTTCTAGGGAAGACCAAGATGGGGCGACAGGACAGGCAGCAGTCTCTAGTCTCCTGCTAGCCCAGCCACCACGCCATTCTGTCTCCTTGGGCGCCTGGTGCAGCTGTCCAAGCCGGGACACCAGGTGGGGGTGGGGGTGTGTGTACTTGTTATATTTAGCCACCTGCCTCTCCTCTCCCCTACTGATCCTGGCCGGGCTTCCGCAAAACGGGGGCGGTGTTGCACACCTGGATCCCGGAGGTGAATCGAAGGGGGCTTAGACTGAGCTTCTGGCCCCTCCTGTGGCCTCAGCAGAACCAGAAGGGGTTGCTCCCTTTCGCCCCTGCTCCACTCAGGATCTGGTGTGGGGTAGGGGTGGGGTGGGGGGGTAGGTACAGCGAAGAGCTTGAGAAAGGAAGGCAGGGCATTGTCTCAGCCCTTCCTCCTGAGGCCTGCAGAGAAGGTGTTGTCTGGTTTAATGTTTAATTAGAGTTCAGAGTTCAGGGTCAGCCAGGCTTGGGGTTGAGATGCAGATCGGCCTGAAAGACCCTGTGGCAGGCCCTAGTCCACCTGGGTACCCCCGGCCATACCCAGGAGTCTGGGGCTTCCTCTTGCTGGACTAGGCTGTAAGCTTCCAGCAGAAACACCCTGTGACCACCACTCCCCTCACCCCTCACCTCCCCCTCCACCCCTAGACACCTCTGAAGCCTAAAGGATTTGGAGTCCCGTGTGCAGGGAGAATGCGGAGGCAGAGAGAGAGCACAGGAAAGGCCTGTCTGGGGTCCAGACCAGGAGCTGGGGCCCCACCCCAGGCAGGACAGCTGGATGGATGACTCAGATACTGCCCCCCTCTTTCCTGCCTGGGTGGCTTTACAAGAGACAGCAGGAGACAGCAGATGCCTTCAAGGATGCGATGGGGATTCGAAGGCCTGTAGCGTCTACCCCTGCCCCACTGGATCATGGGGTCCATTGCCTGCCTCCTGCATAGCCTCTCCGGTGGTGGGCTGGAGCCAGGGTTCTGAACAGGCACAGTGCATACGTCGCTTGAGCGTTGAGTCCCGAGTTAGGGGCTTGTGCTGTGGGATGTTGCCAGGGTCTGCTCCTTCCTACATAGCACGGACAGAGGAAGCTTGAGTCACACGCCAGGCCCACAAAGCAGAAGCGTTTCTTCCCCCTGGACGAGGCTCGGAGCTTGATGACTTCCTCGATTGCCCGCGCGCCTTGGGCAGCCCACTGGGCACAGACAGGGAGGCGAAGGTGCAGGCTCGGCTAGGACACGGACAGCAAAGGCTATAGAGGTACAGATTCCTGTCCCATGTCACAGCAGAGGCTAGCCCAGGCCTTTGGACTACCAGCCGGATGCTCTGACCACTCAGCCTCCCTTCCTGAGCTGAGGGATAGGTTAAAGGGGCCTGAAGGTGCAGAAAGGAGGCCTGGCTTCTGGCTCCTGAGCCAGAACCTTGCTCTGAAGCCTAGCGTCTTTTTTTGCTCTGGGACCTGAGGTGCCTACACGCTCTGCGGTCCTGCTGGGGCCTGTTAGTGCTTGATCCACTGCCCTCCCTTGCCCCAGCCTGTATCTAGAAAGACCTATGAACCTGCCAGATTAGACCTCTGGCAGAGGTAGAGCTCTGGGAAGCTACGGAGGCCCGGGGTTCCTGTCTGGGATCGAGGCCTGGGAGTTGTACATGCAAATCTGAAGGAGTAGAAACATTGGGAGAATGGGGTCTCTGAGGAGGACACCCCTGGGCATTTGTTACCATTCCCATCTCCCTGCCCTGATGTCCATGTTCTGATCCAAAAGGAAAGAAAGACTAACTGCCATTGAGTCAATACCCACTCATAGCAAACCCAAAAGACAGGCCGGCCCTGCCCCTGCCCCTGCCCCTGCCCCTGCGGGCTTCCCGGCCATCACTATTTACGGGAATAGACAGCCTGTCTTTCTCTCAAGGAGCTGGCAGCTTCAAACTGCTGAGCTTGTGGATCACAGCCAAGCTCTTAACCACTACGCCACCGGGGCCCCTAAAGGGAAAGAAGAAGGCACAGCTAAACCTGGGGACTGAGACGTGCCCAGGGAGCCCAAGAGAGACAGAGAAACTCCTCCCCACAGTCCTGCTGGCCTGCCCAGGGCCCATCGTGGGACTTCTCCTGGCCTCCTGAGTCTGAGACCCCGCCTCCAGTGAGAGGACCCAGGAGTTCAGTAGCTCAGTGTTAGGCTGAGCCAGGGACAGCTGCAGGGACAACTGGTCAGACATGCCTTCACCAACGAACTGTGCCCTCTGTCACCTCCCCTGCAGCCCCCGAGTGGCCCCTTACCACCTCCAGCAACATTGGCCTCTCAGATGAAGCCTGTCCCACCCCCTTGGGTGCCCAGTCCTGAAGGGGAGGCGTCTAGGGAGAGACTCTTTGGAAAGGTCTCCCATTGCCCATGAGAAGCAAAGAAATCCGCCCACAAATTACCAGGCCTCATGGGTAGTCTAAACGGCTCCAGTCCTCACTGTTCTTAACTCCAAGTTGGACTTAGCCACTAAATTGCTGTGTGGCCTACAATGCCGTAGAAGTATTTCCCACCCACCCTGGAATGTAAAGTACAGCCATTCTTCTCCATTCCCCAAAGCAAGTGTATTAGAGAAGGTCAACTGTTGGGTCTGTGCTTTGTTCTCATTGCTCCTTGGGACTGAGGGAGGGTCTCCTGGAGCAGGGCAGTGGGGAGGAGGCCCAGGAATGAGGAGGCCTGGTGGTGCAGTGGGTTCGGCATGGGGCTGCCAACTGCCACCAGCCACTCCTGGGGACAGATGCCACAGTCTGCTTCCGCCTGGATTCACCGCTGCGGAAGCCCTGTCCTATAGAGTCGCTGTGGCTCAGAACAGACTCATGGCAGCAGATTGGCTCAGGAATGGCTCCGTTGGGGTGTGTGTGTGTGTGTGTGTGTGTGTGTCTCCAGAGGGAGACCGAGGGAGGGGCTTTTCCCTCAGAGTTGGCCAGGATCACAGAGACAGCACATGTGTGGAGCCAGAGGGAGATGCAGGTGACCTTCAGCTGCCCCTTTCCATGCTTCCTGCACCCACAGTGGCTCTCCCGCCCCAGGTTGAGCTGTGAGGGTGGTCCTTAACCAGTCTCTTAAAGAAGGGGATAGGGTTTGGAAAAGCAGGCAGGCACCCCACCCCTAATCCTTTGGAGGGAGGGATCACGCCAGCCCAAGCCAGGAATAATTCTGGCCAGGCCCCCAGGCCCAGCGGGGGGCTGAGTCACAGCAGAGGACAGTGGACAGGAGACCCTGAGCTGGTCTAGTCCGATAAGGCAAGGCTGAGGGGGGGGCCTTTTTGAGTTGCAGCAAGAGCGATGAGGGACTGAATCAGATGGGAGGCACGTGTGAGGGGGACTGGGCGCAGGGGCCCTCCCCTCCAGGGCAGCCAGGGACTCTTGGTTTCAAGGGGAC